ACATCAGCACTTGTTAAATATGGAAAGGTCATTTATGTTTCATGTCCCATTGCCTATCAGGTTATGGGGAGATTGCATATCCACAACTGCTTTCATTATCAATAGAACACCTTCAATAGTTCTAAAAGTTTTGTTACCTTTTGAATATTTGTATGACAAACTTCCAAATTATTGTGTCCAAAGTTTTTAGATGTTTATGCTACACTTCCACCATACAACAACATAGAAACAAGTTCACACCTAGATCAACTCCTTATGTTTTCATAGGATACCCTGCTGGTTATAAGGGTTAAAAAACATATGACTTTCTTTGCAAAACCTTTCATGTGGCTAGAACCATCGTCTTCCAAAGAAGATACTTTTCCATTTCATTATATACATGACAATAATGACCATACTGACCCTTTTCACCAACAGGTATTACCAAATCCAGTCTATAATGATGATTCATTGGAATATGAACCAATGTATGCATGGATTAATAATCCTATTATTCATGTACATAATTCACCTCAATATTTTCCTGTTGCACCAACTCTAAGAAAGTTTTGTAAAACACATAGAGCTCTAGCTAGCCTGCAAGATTATGTGTGTTATACTTAATATTCTCTCAATCAATTATTTTCATATGAAAAACTCTCAATTCTATACAGATATTATTTCTTGAATGTGTCATCTATTTATGAACCACAATTTTATCATCAAGCATAAAAAATACTTGAATAGTGCAAGAAAATGTCAATAACAACTCTTGAAGCAAATGACACTTGGACAATACAGGGACTACATCATGGCAAGAAAATATTTGGTTATAGATGGATTTACAAAACTAAGTTTAATGTTGATGGCTCATTAGACAAGTGCAAGGCTAGATTGATTTCTATGGATACACCCAGGAACCTGGCATTGACCTCATAGACACTTTTTCTCTAGTTGCCAACTTAACTTCTGTCAGAGTTCTTCTCAGCATAACTGCTACTCGCAACTAGAAATTGGCTCAGCTAGACATAAATAATGTCTTCTTAAATGGTGATCTTTTTTAAGAAATTTACATGGATCTACCACTTTATAATCGAAGTGAGGGGGAAAACATGGTATGCAAATTGCACAAGTCTCTATATGGCTTAAGGCATGCCTCAAGACAACAGTATCATAAATTTTCCACGGCAATCATGTAGCATAAATTCAAGTAAGCATCACCAGACCACTCATTATTCACAAAGGGATCAAGAAAATCTCTTATAGCTCTTATAATTTATGTTAATGATATAGTGGTTGCTAGTCCCAATATCAACTTAATCTAAGAAACTCATAGTTTACTCCAAAGCATGTTCAAGTTGGAGCTTTTATGAGATCTAAAATACTTCCTTGGATTAGAAATTTCCAAGTCAAGTAAAGGAATCGACTTATGTCAAAGAAAATATTTGTAGCACCTGCTCATGGACATAGGATTCATAGATTCCAAATCTTTTTCTCTTCCTATAAATCCTGGTGTCAGCCTCAATGATGAAGATGGACCTTTGCTTGAATATTTTTCACAATATAGGAGAATTATCGGAAGATTGTTGTATCTAACCATCTTTAAGACTGACATTTCATTTGCAGTCAACAAACTCAGCCAATTTATGGCTAAACCTCGACAACTTTATTTGGATATAGTTCATCACGCGTTGCATTACTTTAAAGGTACACCAGATAAAGGAATCGTGTTTTCTACAAATTCATCTATGTGTATTCATATGCAGATTGGAAAAGTTGCATCACCATAACAAAATCCAATAAGGGATTCTGCATATTCATTGGAGAATCATTGGTAGCTTAGAGGTAAAAGAAGCAAGAAATTATGTCAAGATCATCAGCTGAAACTGAATATAAAGCTTTGGCATCAGCAACATATGAGTTACTATGGTTGAAACAACTCCTATGATCATTCAACATTGTCGCGGTGCGCTTTTCATAGAATAAGCAATGGCTATGTATGTGAGCTAATGATTCTATTTGAAAAGTTGAAGAGTCGCCCCCATCTTATTTAGTAATTAAAGCGGGAAAGATAGAAAACCCATCTCGGTTGAGATTCAGGGTAAGCTAGTCGGTTACATGAGGGGAAGGTGTTAGGAACCCCCTCATATCCTTGGTACTCCAAGGGAACCACTCTTTGATATTTCCTTATTATTTGTTTGTGTTCAGGTGAGAAAAGAAAAGACGTGGGTGGTTGATTTTATTTTGATTTGAGAAGATTCGTGTAGACATCCTTTGCCTACGTACCACCCCAAGTGAAATGGGGGATCAAAATCTGCGTAGTTCGCCTAAGGGGTTTACTAAAGTGTGTTAAGATTGATTTTAGGGTCAACTACTATTTCTTTCTCTAGTTTGATATCCCAAGTGGGAGAGGACATGAGTAAGAGATGAGAAAAGAATTAGTGAGTTTTGTTTATTTTAAGTATGTGTGTTTAAAGTCAAAGTATAAGTTAGATTGTTTTTAAAGTATTATTTACATGCAAAGTAAGGGTGGGATATACTACATGACGATTGTATAGGCTGCCACTATATGTTTTAAAACGAGAAAATAACTTTAGTTTCGATATGTCCATGTTTTAGCATTTTCTCAATTCCTTTAAGGCATTAAAGTAAAACTATAAAGAAAGTAAACCTATGGAGGCAGAACAACCTCAACTATGCACAAATGAAATCAAATGATAATAAGGAAAGAAAATTAAACAAAGGATATGGTAGTGAAGGCAAGGAGTCCTCACTTGGTCTTGTGAACTTTTTCTCCTTAAGCTTCCTTTTCACCATGTGATCTCAAACTCAAGATATAACCAAAACCAATGTACAAATGTATTATGTATGACTATCATGAAAGAGTGAAAATGTTAGTAAACTTCAAGCGATATAATATAATATATGTACAAAACATAAACAAAGTATAAGAAGAAGTAAGAAGAAGAAGAGATGATATTTACAATGCAAATGCAAAAGTAAGCCAAATATGCACACATTCTGTCCAGAATTTTGTCAATTTTTAAAATCAAACTTCGAAGCCTCAAATGCAAAAACTTAAAGAAGATGAAATGTTCCAGAATGAGTATAGAGTATGCTTGAATGTTTTCAGATTTTTTGAATGAGATTTGCTTCTGTTTTGAGTCTAAAAACCAACAGCATGTCCAAAAGAATGTGCATGAATAAAGACTAGAAAGATGTAATCAAATGGGGCATGAGAATGCTTCAAAGTCAGAATATGATTCAAAGTAGAATGATCAAATATAATTCAAGAATACACACACCAAATTTCAAAGCAAAACCATGTACCGATTGGAAAGTATGCACAAAACGGTGAACACACAAAAGATGTGAAATACACCAAAAAACGATAAGGTAAAAAGTAGAACGGAACAAGTTCAAAGGTTCGACGCAAAATTTAAAACAAATAGAATCGAACGATATAAGTTCAAAGGTTCGACTCCATGATGAGGAGATCAAAGAACCATGCACAATATGTGTTCGACCTAAGTTCAAAATGACACCACCCAAATGGGCAAAATAAAAATCCAAGGTGAACAAAACGGTATCCACAAAGACAAACGGAAGATCACAACAACAAAAAATGGTATATTCACAATGATATCAATAATATAATCACAAGTAATATAGTATAATGAAAATATAAGAAAAGATTATAAGGTGCAAGAAGAAAATATAAGATAAAATAGTATAATATAGTATAATATATACATAGTAATATTTTCCGATTTAAAAGGCAACAAAACGAACAATAGTGGTTGAATGTTGTATCGAGGTTCAAGTTTGATCAAATTCCATCAGAGGATTGATAGAATCAAAGCCTCTACACAATGAAATTCTCAATTATGAACCAAGAACAATAAGTAACCATCATTGGGCTTACGCAACATAAAGTCCGAGCCACGAATGTTCATTTTCCGATTCGGGTCAAATGTCGCGCTATGTTAAGCAATCGCCAAGTAACTTATATAGAAGTCACCCTACAGCGAGGCCGGTCTTGACTATGTATGCTAATGCATGCTTGAGTAATGGTATGTAAACCATGCTCGAAAGAAGCAATGCCGCACGAAAAGAATAATGGTGAATAGTCTCGTTTCGATCGCGATTCAAAGTGAAATCGCACGATCCATAAACGTCATCGACCAAAATAAAGAGAATAAAGATGGAAATGGAAGTATAGGTAAGAGGACTTCACATCTCAAGAAGGGGTGGACTAAAAAAGACTCAAAAATACCAAAATAAACAAAGAGAAATAATCGATTAAAAGTGAAAATCGGAAATATTTACACGATTTTAAAAAGTCGGTGAAAACAACTTTGAAAAATCCAGAAAAAATATATTCAAATACTATATAATTTTATAAGCATAAAATAATTTTTTTGGAATTTTTTGATGTAGTATGCAACAGATATGAAATAAAGCTCAAATAAGCTAAAAAATCGACTAAAAATAAAGTCGAAAAATCAAATTCAGAAAACATAAGCAATATTTATATTTTTGGAAAGAGGAAAAAAAATGCAACCAAAGTCTCAACAGTCAAAATGTTCAATTATCAACCAATTGAGAGAAAAAAAAATAAAAACCTCAGGAGGTGTATGTTGAAACAGGGGGTGCAGGGAATCACTTGGGCTTAGCTTTTGAGTCCAATTTCAGTTTCCAAGGGGGGTGCGTTCAAACAACAAAGGGGTACAGGAAGGAACCGTGTTTGGGCCTTATTTGTCCAGGGTCCAAGAGTTACCAAAAGTCTTAAACATTTATTTGGAAAAAAAAAAAAAAAACTCAGCATCACTTTGTTCAAACGAAATGTTTCTTCCCCCAACGTGAAAATCCTTCTTCAAAATCCATCTCCAACAACCTTCCATGCTCGTTCGCCGCTGTGCACCACCTCTTTCCGTCAATCTCAAAGTTGTTTTTTTCTTTCTCTTCTTCTGTTTTTTATTTGAATCTCTGTTGTGATTTGATTCTTATGTTTCTATTTTATGGATTTGGGTTTAATGAGGGATTGTGGAGTGGGGGCTGGGTTGTTGACGGTTGTGAAGGGTGATTACGCGGCGGTGAGAGGCGGATGGAAGGAGGGGCGGCGCGGCTGGAATCTGGGTGGAACAGAATCTGGGTGGAACGGTGGAAGCAGACGTTTTGTGGAGGGGGATGAGGTGGGGCGGAGGGCGGTGGTGTGAACGACGGCGGGGAGCGTTTGATGTTGTTGTTCTCTTTATTTATTTTTTTGCTTTTTTTTTTTGTTTTTGATGAGAATCAGAGGAGAGGAAGGGAATTGATTTTTTTGTTACGTGAGAGAGGGATTTATGGATGGTGGGGAGATATGAAGAACAAAATCAATTTAGATTCCTCTGTTGAAAAGTTTTTAACGCTTTTTGATGATGGAGAGAGGAAGCTTGGTGATGTTTATGATTTTATATTTTTTCATTCTGGAAAAGTCATGAAGAAACGAGAGAGAGGGGAGTAATGTATCTTCACGTTTTTTCTCTCAGCTTTTTTTTTCTTTTCAAAACGTTCTCCCCCCCTTCTTCAATCTGCACAGTTGTAGTTATTAAATAGTAAAAAAAAAAAAACTCTACTCAATGATAAAAACATGTGATAATAATAATAGATAATAGTTATAGTAAATAATAAAAATAATAACTATAATAATATTAACAGTAATAATAATAATAGAAATAATAATAATAATATATAAAAATAAAAATAATAAAAATAATAAATATAATAATAAATATAATATTAATAATAATGATAAAAATGATAATAAAAATAAAATAATAATAATATTGAAAATAATAACAAAATAATAGAAATAATAATAATGATATAATAATAATAGAAATAACAAATAATAGTAGATAATACACCACTTTGGTGAGGTGTCACCAAATGATTGGCCCAAACAAACTCACAAATTAAACTAAATTAAAAAATCAGCAAAAACAAATTACACCATCACAATGCCAAATGGCAACATGTGATTGGTTGTAATATGTGGCAAATGCCAAATGGAAAATGTTAATTAATTAAATCAAACAAATCAAATATTACCAAATGCCTAAAACACCCCTCCTGATTTTATTTTTCAACTATTTAATTAAATGACTCAAAAACATTCTTTTTTGCAATTTTCATAAAACGAGAAACGACCGAAATTAACCGAAAATAATTAAAATAAAATGACTGCTGAACCGAAAAAATAAAATGTGTGCGTCGACACGATCGACTCGTGACGACGGTTTTGAAAAGTCTTCGGAATTTATTAAAATCGAAAGTAAAAATACTCGATAAAATCGGCACAGACAGTTTGAAAATGACCGAAATGAAGTCGAAAAATTCCAACAAGCAAACCAAAATAACCTACGCGGAATATCGATTCAAGAAATATGGACTTTGGTTTTGAAACTCGAAAGAAATATTCGCAACATTTTTGTGAAATCGGCCAATAAAATAACCGGGCCCCTTATTTGACTGAAAATTCATTTTGAACGCACTGACACAAACTACGCGATCGGAAGTCTCGTAAAATGGTCGTTTTCAGGCGTAAATTGAAAAGAAATATTTTTAACTTTTGCATGCAGTCTGTTTATAAAACTGGGATTTTATTTTAAAGACCGTGAACTGGTTCAAACAGACGCGTGAGCTACAAAAATGCATGAAATGCAATTAACTCGATCTTATTATTTTGAAATTATATGCAAATTTAATCGGAAACCCGATTTTACTGATGCTGAATGCAGACGATGCGAAATACGACTGTATTTTTGTTGTTTTTGATGCACAATGATTATATTTACTGAATATGAATCGTAACATGCTCATGATGCAAATGATCAGGCGAAAAATAAAGCGCGACTCGAGTTTGAACCCATCCACGATTATGCAAGACTCGAAACAGATGCGACACAAAATGCAAGACACGAACTAATATTAAATGCAACAAAATGCCCTCAACTCAGGCAACAGGAAAATGTCGGGGATATCACGAGCAAATGAGAAAGCAAACCCTAGGCTAAGCAACCAATGAGCAGAGGTAAACCAGATCAGACCAGAGGCTCATGCTTGTGATCATTTCTCGAAATTTGAATATGCATGAATGGATATCATGATGAATGAAATCTTAGGGGTCAAAATAGGGTTATGACAGTTGCCCCTATCGAAATACTCTTCAGCCCTGAGAGCATTAGACCGATAGTTCTTTTGATTGAAGGGACTGAGAGTATTTCGATATGGAATTACCCGATTTTTGTCCCTTAAGATGAATGAATCATGATGAATGCAAAATGCAATGCAAAGAAAATTAGGTTAACTAGGATAGACACAATATAGGATAAACTCTACTGGAGAATAACAGGGACTGGAAATTATCCTCGCCGAGATTTCGGACCAGACACAAAGTTCAAAAGGAAATGATTTGGATTTGCCCCACCCATGACAAATGCCAGAGATTTTTGTTGTCGATCCCACACATGATCAAACAACGAGGCAATTCACTGAAATCTGCACAAGTCTTGCACATGACGAGTAACAGAGAAACAAACAGAATAATCTGATGTTGGCCCACACTTGCCGAGTACCAGAGGTCTTCACTTTCAATCCCACACTTAATTGAAGCAAATAAATAAGAAAATAATCTGAGCTTGGCCCGCACTTGCCGAAGAACAGAGGTCTTTACTTTCAATCTCACACTTGATTGAAGAAAACAGAATACAGGTAATCTGGTCCTGGACCCGCACTTGCCGCGGAAACAGAGATCTTTCTTCCAATCCCACACTTGATTGAAGGAAATAAACAACAAAATAATCTGAACTTGGCCCGCACTTGCCGAAGAACAGAGGTCTTTACTTTCAATCCCACACTTGATTAAAGAAAACATAATACAGGTAATCTGGTCATGGGCCCGCACTTGCCGAGGAAACAGAGATCTTTCTTTCAATCCCACACTTGATTGAAGGAAATAAACAACAAATAATCTGAATTCTGGCCCGCACTTGCCGAAAACAGAGATCTTTACTTTCAATCCCACACTTTATTGAAGAAAACAAAATGCAAATAATTTGATCATGGGCCCGCACTTGCCGAGGAAACAGAGATCTTTCTTCCAATCCCACACTTGATTGAAGGAAATAAACAACAAATAATCTGAATTCTGGCCCGCACTTGCCGAAAACAAAGATCTTTACTTTCAATCCCACACTTGATTGAAGAAAACAGAATGCAAATAATCCGATCCTGGGCCTGCACTTGCCGAGGAAACAGAGATCTTTCTTCCAATCTCACACTTGATTGAAGGAAATAAACAACAAATAATCTGAATTCTGGCCCGCACTTGCCGAAAAAACAGAGATCTTTACTTTCAATCCCACACTTGATTGAAGAAAACAGAATGCAAATAATCTGATCCTGGGTCTGCACTTGCCGAGGAAACAGAGATCTTTCTTCCAATCCCACACTTGATTGAAGGAAATAAACAACAAATAATCTGAATTCTGGCCCGCACTTACCGAAAACAGAGATCTTTACTTTCAATCCTGCACTTGATTGAAGAAAACAGAATGCAAAATAATCTGACTCTGGCCCGCACTTGCCAAAGAACAGAGATCTTTACTTTCAATCCCACACTTGATTGAAGAAAACAAACAAAATTTGATCCTGGCCCACACTTGTCGAGAACAAATGTCTTTCTTTCAATCAATCCCTCACTTGATTGAAGAAAGCACAAGACTTAACCTGATCCTGACCCACACTTGCCGGAACAGAAGTCTTCAATTCTGCCTTTTGATCCTGGTCTTTCTCCTGGAAGGCACGGACAAGTTTTGCCTCGATCCCCAAAGATTCTTAGTCTTGAGCGGCTATTCCTCTGCCTGAAGTACGAGTATCTATGCTCTAAACAAAACAGCAACCCGGTTTGATCTGAACCTGGCCCACACTTGCCAAGTAACCGAAATTTGCTTTCAATCCCACACTTGATTGAAGCAAACAAAATGTAATCTAGCACTGGGCCCGCACTTGCCGAATACTAGAAGTCTTTTCTATCAATCCCGCACTTGATTGAAGAAAACAAAAATAAGAAATGTAATCTGAGACTGGGCCCGCACTTGCCGAGTAACATAAGTTTTTCTCCCAATCCCGCACTTGATTGGAGGAAACAAAAATAAAAATCTGATTTTGGCCCGCACTTGCCAAAAACAGAAGCTTTGCTTTCAATCCCACACTTGATTGAAGCAAACAAAATGTAATCTAGCACTGGTCCCGCACTTGCCGAGTACTAGAAGTCTTTTCTTTCAATCCCGCACTTGATTGAAGAAAACAAAAACAAAAAGTCTGATCCTGGCCCACACTGGCCGAAGAACAGAAGTTTTTGAGCAACAACTCAGACTTGGTTATACTGCTTTCACTGGGAGATAACCTTTGCTTCACTAAGAAGACTTTAAATGATAGTAATCCAACTCCTGCACATGAGAGGAAACTTCATCAAGGACTCAGTCTCAACTAAATCCTGCCCATGTAAGGGACTTCAACTTTCTTGATTTGCCCATCAATGGGACTTTTCTTGATACATGTTGTTGGAGAAACACAAATAAAGTGCTCTCAATGCTGGAGAAATATATTCACTTGGAACACCTGCAAGAGAAAAGACACAAAGTTCAATCCAGGAACAAACTGGAGAGAAGCGGTCAATCAAGACTCATACTGAGGAAACAAGCTCAGCTGGGGATATTTCTTCTCTGAAACTAGAGAGAAATATGAAACAAGACTCTGCAAAAGGGAGTAATTCTTTCTATCCAATGATAGAAAAGAAAACCGAAGAGACTCGACTGGGAATAAACCCGACTCACTAGGGATACATCTTTATATGGATGATCCAAGAGTAAGACTCTGTGGGGATAAAGTACCACCACTGACAAGATTGAGAATAATGCATATGAATCTGATTTTATTATTCATGCAATGATTCTGATGATGCGTATGTTTGCATGCAATGTTATGCAAATGCTGACAAAACTGACGCACACGAGAGATATGGTTACAGACACAAACGACCAACGACACTCTACTTGAGCAACATCTAAACATCTCTGAAATAGGATATGGTGTGGTGAACCACACTGCTTGGGGAATCTGAGACACCAACATCCCGAAAAATAGCTCCGTTGGGGAAACTCCTGGATGAGGAAATCATGGTATATGATCGAACTTTACAAAAGGATTTTACCGATCAATACCAAACCGTTGAGGAAAAGGTTCTGAATACCCTGACGTGGATAAGCTAATACATGACCTGCTGAGGATACATGTGTAGTTCGCTTGGGGATCCACCACAGGATAAACCTGATTTGCGACCATGTTGGGGATCTCAACATGTCGGCTTTGTTGGAGAAATGTCCCTTAACAACAGAACTACTGGGGAAGTACAACGACTTCGCTGGAAAAGACAGCATCCTTGCTGGGAAATTAACGATC